AGTGTTGTTTTAGTATTCATTGTTTTATCGATTTGATATTGCAAATGGAAATATATTTTTTTTATGAAATACGGGTGACAAACGAGCACACAGTCCACTTGATGGTAAGTGGATACTGTAGTCCATAGATTTCTACGTTTATCCTCGATAATGAATCAAAATGCAGATGCGTTGTGACCCCTGAGGACTAAGATGGAATACAGAATCCGGTAAAAAGGGTCTCCGGTTCTCTACACGCTTAGCAGCAGCATTAAACTGCTATTTTACGCTGGTATGCTGTGAGAGCGTGGTTTTTCCGCGGTCGAGCCGACCCATTCGTGCTACAAACATAATATAGCTGCAGCATGGCTTTACCACATGGTAAATATATAGAATGTAGCTTAATAAAAACATTTGTTTTATAGGAGAGGTGGCAAACGAGCATGCGGCTCACTTGATGGTAAGTGACTACCGCCGCCCATGAACAACTGCACCACCAGGGGAACCAGGGGGATTGCAGATGCGTTGCCGGCCTTTTAAAAAGGAGTGAGCTCTTTTCTTGAAGGTCCCTAAGTTAATATATAATATATAATCCCTAATATTCACTTTTGCCTTGAAGGCACCTATATTGAAATCGAATGGAAAGCCAGATGCTGATAAATTATTCCACTCCTTTGCTGTACGCATTGTGAACGACAAAGCAAACAGTTTGATTCGAATGCGTTGTATGTCAACAACGAAGAAGTGGAGAAACCTAACGTCTGGTGGTTCCATGATGAAACAGAGATAGAAGATTTAAATTATGTAATTCCTGCGCACAGTCCGCGAAATGTATCAAAAAATGAAAAAATCCTATAGACTGGCTACAGCCTGCGCTTGAGATTGGTAACTACCATACACCTTGTCATAAAATAAACGTTTGCCACTGTTGATATTGTGTATTTTTGTTTGAGATACCTTATACCCTTGGCCTTTCGATCGATTTAAACATTTTTAATTGTTAAAGTTACCTGCCGTCATATCGTTAAGGCTCGATGACACCGGGCTAGTTTACAAGCTACAAGCCACCGAGTTCGCGAGCAGCTTGTAAACTCCCTCTGTGTCATTGGGCTTTTTTACAATCTGCTTTTGAGAATCCGATCGTAAAACAGCTGCTTGAAAAATAGAAAGCCGCCGGGCTAATTTACTCGCCATTCGCTGGCGTGTTGGCCTGTAAGCAAGTTAACTAGCTGTGTGTCATCATCGTTGTTGTTGAACTAGTTGCGAGCATCTTTTCGTTTTGGCAGTTTAAGTTAAAATGTCAAAGGAATTAGTTCACGCGGGAGAAGTTCTTTTAGCTCATGTTGAAATATTTACAACGAAAACTAAAGAAAAACTTGAAACAGAAAAGAAAATGGGTAAGAGCGTGGATAGAAAAACGCGATGAATATGGTGCTTGCAGTGGTTTATGAGGGGTGAAGGACCAAGATCCAAATTTGATATTAGCTAGCTAGCTAGTTCGCTACTGAGCGAGTGGAAAGTTTTTTGTGTCATCGACACTCGCTTACTCGCTCACTCGCTAGCTTTTAAACTCACCGACTAGCAGCTTTTAAACTAGCATAGTGTCATCGTGTCAACCTTAAGAAGCTATTTTTAATATTTTAGTGATACGGACAACTTAATATTATATTATAAGATGGAAAGTAAAGTTACAGCATATATACGTCCTAATTTTGGGCACAGGCCTCCTGTCATTTCTGAGAGAAAACTTTATCATACTAGAATTTCTCTTGTATCTTGGGAGCGATTTACATACCATTACATACCTTTATAAATTTAACATAGAGAAACAACCACATCTGGATAAAAAGTTAGGCCATATATATACTTCTTTTATGCTGGATTCGAACCCCAGTGCCGCAGCCAAACGTAGTAACTAGTAGGAGCTACTGAGCTGCTTAATGGTCATTGGTAAAAATAATCAAGAGCTTGGCAGCCCATAGGCTAAGCCCTCGCCGTAAAATTTTCAGGACGTGAGCAAACAACATACATGTGGGTTCGGCCTTCGCCGTCGCCAATGTTATTCGCCGGTGCAAATTGTTAATATTTTTTTATAGAATAAAGGTGGCAAACGACAGTTCACACAGTTCACCTGATGGTAAGTGATGAATGCTGTGGCCCACAGACATCTAAATTTATCCTCAATTAAGAATCAAAATGCAGATGCGTAGTCACCCCTGAAGACTAAGATGGAATGCCTCCTTTCCCGTAAAAAGAGCTATCTGGTTATCTACACTTACTCGTACCATACGAAACACAGCAGTATTAAGCTGCTATTTTACGCTGGTATTCTGTGAGAGCGCGGTCCTTCCCCGGTCTGAACCATTCGTGCCAGAACTATATACCACGTAAAATGTGCTGATTTACCACGTGATCCGCGGTGAAAGAAAACATCGCGAGGAAACCTGCATGTCTGAGGATACACTATTTCTAAGACATGTAAAATCCGCCAACACTGGAGCAGCATAGTGGATCAATTGCTCTATAAGCTACTCAGAAATGAGAGCTGACTTGTAGTCCAACAATGGGGCATTATATAGGCTGTAAAATAACTTTAAAAATAATCGATTCTCTAGACCTCATTAAAGTCTATAGTACTCGTATGTAGTGTTGTTATAAATACGTAACATAATGTAGTGAAATGCTGTAAACATCTATTCAGAATCGTATAAAACTATTTTTACTGATTTTATTGCGTTTAATTTTCTAATTTACAGGTGGTAGTACCCAGCCTCCTAAATGTTAATAGAGAAGGGGGCTGGGTAGCTCCTGCAGGAGCTGTTATTAATTTCCTTAGCCTCACGTGTCATCCTAGGTAGGAATCGTTGAGAAATGTTCTTTCGCGAGGATTTGTGGTCTATCAAATCTGATATAATGATGAAAGCCATCTAAGATATAATCACAGCTGCAGATTTCCATTGCTTTGCCCCCTTACTGCAAAGCACCCGAAACGTCGGGAATAAAAAAATAAGTATAATGGCGATAAAATCCGTAAAAATAATTTTATTCAATGTGTAGTGTTCGCGTATATATAAGTAAATTCAGAATTTTTATTTTTATTTTCAACATAGAAATTTAACACCCTTTGTGCCAATCGCGTGACGAAACTTAATTTGTAACTGTTCATAATTTTCAAAGACGGGAACCTAAAATTAATTCTACGCTCTAAATTGCGCGTTTTGATTTTGTAGAAATTTATAGCGAAAATACGACGTCGCTGCGGAATATTCATTAGACCCATCAAATACTACCATTTTATCGTATGTAAATTGTCTCCTAAAATCATTTTGGGTCTATACCGACTATTCGTACTCATATATCTATAGGGGCGCAGTAAGCTTTTTCTGGCATGTACCATTATTCGCCTCTTACAAGTCGCGGCACGTAAGTCTAGCACTGAACGAAACGTGGTGGGGACACGCACGAATTGAATTGCACAAATGCGACTGGAGAGCCAATCATCTCGTGTGAATGATACGCACGAGCCAATCAGCGCGACTTATGCGCGATAAGCCAATTAGCGCGACTTATGAGCAATAACGGTCACCGCTAGACTTTCGTGCCGGCGCCTATACGATACCCACAATACGAGGGGTGATGGATTCTCCGCCGCAAGCCTCCGTTACCATTATAGCCTAACAAAGTTACACCGCTGAACATAGGCCTCTCCCATAGATTGCTTCTTAGGGGGGATATTTGTCAGTTTCCAAGCGGGTTGGCAACCGCAGTTTTTTTATTTATAATTGTTATTAGGAAAACGCTATTACCCCTCTCCAGGTTTGTTTCCCTCTGTCACCTTTTACGACACGCACGGGACAATATGGGGTTGTGGATGTTCTTACACCGCCACTTCACGGTCAACGGCAAGCACCAGTACAGGCAACAAAATTTGTAAATTAAGTTATGGTGAGGGTATTTCCGCAGGCTTGATTAAAACAGTCATGGTTTTTCAACGTTGAGTAACTAACTAAGATACGTATATGAAGTCTTATATTATTATTTTGTATCAGTAAAGACCACATTAATCAAAACAAATTAATTTTTTTAGTAGGTAACAAAAGAACGAAAAGTACCGAGTAAGAAGGATGTAGTATCGAAAGGGCGCCTTCTTTAAATCCATTTCCGGCTAGAATGTTACTTTTTAACCGACTTCAAAAAGAAGGATGTATTCAATTCGACTGTATGTTTTTTTAATGTGTTACCTCATAATTTTTTTCTAGGTGAACCGATGTTGATGATTCTTTTTTTTATTTGAAAACTGGCTTCTCATGTGGTTCCATATAAATTTGATCAAGATCTGACCAGTAGTTTATGAGTTATCCTTAATAATTTATATTAAAGTAGGTTATACATTTTTTTTAAATTTTACAACTTGTTTTATCTTTAAATTTGTTAAACAAATTTATGTTATATTATAATACAATAGTACCATGCAAGGCGTATATCTACGCTAGACAGTCGTAGGTATTATAGCAAAAACTATGCATTAATTGAGCATTAAAATTAACTTATTACGTTATCTTAGTACTACAATGTCAATTTTTGATTTACCCACTGAGTTATCTGTATTCTGTACTACGTACTAGAGAAGCCATTCCGAACATTGACTATGTTCAACTGAACTGTAGTGCAATCCATACAAACTAAATATTGCGTAAATTGAAGATTTGTGAATTCCATAAAATAATTATTATTACATTTTATTTAGAAATATGTTTGTTTAGATTAAATTAAGATATTTTATATTAAATTCTTATATTTATTTTATATTAATATCTTATTTTATATCAAATTAAAGTCTTCGCGCATGCGCGACTACTACTCCCGCGCATGCGCGAAGACATAGAGTAGGACACAATTTTTGTTTGGAATGGTTTCTCTAGTACGTAGTACATATAACTCAATGGATTTACCAGACAATATGATTTAAGTTTGCTATATAAATTTATACCTGCGTGTTTTAAATGTTTACTTTTTGTTAGGAACACATGAACACATTGCGTCAAGAAGCACCTCAGGTGGATCCTGTTAAATTGGAGAAACTTTTATCTGCTGCTTATGCACTGATCAGTCCCGAGTTGCAGCAGATCAGTTTACCCGACTTCCCTATCGACAGTCTGCAAGCTGCTGCACTTATTTTGGTATGTATTTTAATTTTCATTTTACTAAATTACGCCTCTACTATTTACATCCATCTATCCATCCATTACAGCCTATAAAAGTCCACTGCTGAACCTAGGCCAGTGTTGCCAAGTCTAGACCGTTCCGAGTCGTCAAAAATTAAAAAAAAAATAGCCTAAATTCGCCTATTTCTTTTTCTGTAATGTAGCCTAAAATCGCCTGCTGAATTGCCAGTTAGCTATTTTTAAACGTAGATTCCTTATTTATAATTTTAACAAGATAGAATTTGAAGCACGTTATCGAAAATATTTTACTTACAAACTTACAATTAAAGAGATTAACGAAGTATGTAAGTATATATACCTTCAAATCTTGTATTCTGTGTCGAAAACACATGTTTCATTACAAGCATTTTTATTGTATATCTTAAGAGTTACTCAATAAGAGAGAGAATTATATAGCCAAAAAGCGCCCTTGGTTTTTTCCGAAGTAGCCTAAATTGGCACCACTGACCTAGGCCTCCCAAACAGATTGTCTCCTATGGGGAGATTTCGCCATAGTTGCCACGATTGGCAGGAGGGTTGCCAACAGCAGTTTTTTTATTATTTTGAGTTGTTACCAGGAATATGCTCGTACGACACCCACGGGTCGATATGGGGTAGTGGATAATCTTACACCGCCACTACACGGTATCAACTGTTTAAATTTAATGAATTATAACGATAACTGCGTGGTATGGAGGTACTTGACTGCCGAATCGCGGGCTCCGAGTTTGAATTACAGCTAGTTCTAATATTTGTACTAAGGCACAAACTGATTTCCGTGGCTGGTTGTACAAGGATATGTGCACGCAAACTTCTATTTTTGATCTTATTTAAAAGTTACATCGAATATTGACGGCTATCGATGATGTCGGTGTAAACATTTCGTTTACTTTACACGTAAAATATCTAGACCGGATACGGGGATTAGCATCATAGTTGTGAGACACAGACAGACAGGAGTGGACTTTTGAAGGGTTATAAAGAATAATATATGTAGTTGACGAGTTTTAAAAAAAAGGTAGCGCCAAACTCACGCCAGTAATAACAGCAAAAGATACCAAGAGGGAGGTCAAAGAAATGGTAGATTGACCGGATTGGTAGATTTTATTAAGATGGCGAAATTTAAAACCACAGGCAAAGTGGCGGGATAGATATAGAGAAAGAAACCGGACCAGGCAAAACCAGAAGGCATGAAGTTGTATTGTTTGAAATGTTAACTACAGATAATATTCGGTACTATGCCGTGATCTAAATTGTCTTAGAGAAAATTATTATCGTCATGGTTGCGTATGACATAAATAATGTCGTGGTGGTATATTAACCCAGCTCATCTTAAATATTAAAGTACATAAGCAGGTAATTTGAGCTAGGACCCCGTTGTTTGTGGTTAGACTATAATTACTTTACCACGTCAGAATAGAATAATTTTATTCTATATAGTTTATAAATAATTCTTATTGAAAGTCATTTTTTACTTTGCCTTCTGGTTCGTAAAAAACCTCTGACCTGAGATAAACAAGTAAGGAACCTCGCGGGACCTTTTTTCCACAGTAACATTTTTTTTATAGGATAACGGTGACAAACAACCACACAGTCCACCTGATGGTAAGTGGTTGCTGTGGCCCATAGACATCTACATCTATCCTCGATTATGAATCAAAATGCAGATGCGTTGCAACCCGTGAGGACTAAGATGGAATACCTGGTTTCCAGTGAAAAAGGGTCTCCGGTTCTCTACACTCACCATACGAAACACAGCATATATATTTGAAATAAAACAATCGCAAAGTAGTTGTGATATGAACTTAGTAACATATTAAATAATTTACAAGAGTATATACAATACAATATTACCAATATTATTAAATAATTAACAAGTATCAAGCTATTTCTAAACCTATTTGTATAATGTATAATGTCCTTCAGACCGGATTTCGGTCGGCTAGTCTTTTTTTTATAGAATAAAGGTGACAAACGAGCACACAGTCCACCTGATGGTAAGTGGTTGCTGTGGCCCATAGACACCTACATCTATCCTCCCGTGAGGACTAAGATGGAATGCCTCTTTTCTAGTAAAAAGGGTCTCCGGTTTTCTACACTCACCATACGAAACACAACAGTTTTAAGCTGCTATTTTACGTTGGTATTCTGTGAGAGCGTGGTCCTTCCCCGGTCGAGTTGACCCATTCGTGCTACAGTTATATTACTAATATAGCTGCATCATGGCTCTACCACGTAAGTCTCTACGTGAACGCATAATGACTGGAACACTCGTGAGGAATAAGATAGAATGATTCGTTTCCAGTAAAAAGGTTTCCGGTTGTCAACACTCACCATACGAAACACAACAGCATTATGCTATTTTACGCTGGTATTCTGTAAGAGCGTGGTCCTTTTCCCGTTGATGTAGACTTATTCGTGCTGCAATCATAATATAGCAGCGTGGCTCTACCACATATTACACATAGATATACATACATACATATTATAAATAGGCTGTGTGATTTATACTTTTTTCGGTCATTATCCGCCTACTCGATTCTATAAATTACTAGTTTGCAACGTTAATAGCGCAGCGTGCGTGATCGTATGTAACTGAGCTTATGGCAAAGAACGGCGCCGGGGTTCACGCAATCTCCATATTTTTCGATATGTCAGGGTTAAGAAAAAGGTAAAAATATATAGTAGGGTAAATAGTAAATAAAGAAATAGTAGGAATACTCATTAAATGAAATTAAATGCGATTAATTTTTTTTTTGATTTCGTTTCGGGTGCTTTACAGCACACAAGGTCACGGGTGGGACTGAGGTGTTTGACGTCCCGATGTTAGCCCGGCTACCTTAAGTTTCTGAATCTTAATTTTTCTTCCGATCTACGCAGAACGAGCTTACACCGTGCTTGAGTTTAGATTTAATTTTACTAATTATAGGATCCCAAACAAATGATAGCACCCATCCATAGTCTCCATTGAGATCCGGATGTTTTTTAATTCCCATAGCTTCACTAATCATCCTTGATAGGAATCAGTGTTCTTTTGCAAGGATTTGTGGTCTATTAAAACTAATGTCATGGCAGGGACGATCTTGAACATATTCACAGACTCAAACGTCGTGATTTAAAAAGTTAAAATTAAACGCGATAAAATCCGTACAATTAGTTGCATTTAATGTGTGTAATGTGTCATTAGTAGGAATACTTAATAAATGATGAATTATCTCTTTATAAAGTCGAAGGGGAATGCCCACCGTTTATAGACACTTCGGCCATGGACCCACATATAAAAGCATATTATGGAAATGATATATGAAAGAAAGAAAGAAAAAAAGAACTATTTATTTGATATACACATTTTACACACATTAAACAAATATATTATATACAAAAGCAAGGGGGAAAAGAATGCATGTACCAGTCTAACACTGCTTACGCATTTACAATTGAGAAGCAGTACATACACAATAATGAAACAAACAAACAAACAAAAAAGAAAAAGGAAAAAAGTCAATATGAAAATGTGAATCAAATAGGTCTCCAACTCAGCATAATGCTGCAAATTCAGCGCTGGTTTTCAGTTGGAGCCTTGTGACTTCACAGACAAGTCGGTGTGTGATCTTCCAACTACGAGTTCATAGTTATCTATTAACAATTACGAGTTAAAAGGTAGTGCTAATATTATATAACGCATACACACATACACTGAGACTGAACCTAGCTAACAGGTATATGCAATTAAAAGAATGAAATAGTTAAGGAATTGGATTATAAAAGTTCGGATTTTTAAGATATAAAGGTTTTTTATTTTCACAAGTAACAGTTTTTAACAACAAATGACTTCGTATTTTCATGACATTTAAACCACAATTGACACAGCGTAAATGTCCTTGAATGAGTTACTGAGAGATGTTAAGAACTCTGGCCGGTGTGAAAGCTTGGGTCACCGTTAACAGTGAATATCGAGTCCAAGTTCGTGCAGAGGTTATCGTAAGAAGTGGGACCCATTTTCAGGCCGTGGTCAATAGTGTGAGAAGAATTATCGGAGTCCATTTAGAAAGCTTATTCGTTGCTTAGATAACAAATCCGCGAGAAAACAAACAAAATAACACAAATGCAAAAGAATTCGACGTGTGACTATTTACTTACTTTTGATAATTATGACCCCGCCTAAGGGTATTAGTGTTCTGTGATTATGACATGGGCCTAGCTGTCAGATTCGATGTTGCGAATTAATAGACATAAAATCGATAAATAGAGAGATTTTTTTATTAGATTTATAATTTCATAAAAAAGAATAATCTTTAATTCATTTTAAGTTCTGCACGCCTTTTAAAATATGTTTTATTTTATTTATTTAAATTCCATTTTAAATGTATTTTTAAGAACAGATAAGAATAACAGTTAAATTGTGCAGTAGCGTTTTTGTTAGGTCCTAAAGAGTTCATGGTAAATCAACTAGCAATTCGCTTGTTTAATTATCATAACATCATAATAATTATCCAAAAATAATATTACCATTATAATAATGACACCATAAAAATCGATTGAAAATACAGAATCGACTTTTTTAACGAGATTTGTAATTGGCAACACTTTTTATTTCATCCACAAACTAATGAATTGCGGATTTACCTAATTTCATAAGTACTTTTTTTAAATACCGCGATTAAAGATGTATTTTTTAACAAATGAAAATTGTGAGCGTTTCACGGCCAGAATTGGACATTTCAATTTATTAAACTTACGTATTTCTGTTTGTACGTCAGTACATGGTTGTGTACGTCAATGGTCTGTGTAAAAATAATGTGTTTCTCTCTTTCTCTTTATTTTTTTTCTAAAGTTAGTGACACACGAACACACATTAGCCTATTTCATGCTATGTAGATGCTTTTGCGCGTAGACACCTACATTTCTATTCTCGCTTAAGAACTCCTGAAACTTATGATGGAAATTATTCATTCATTCATCGCCTAACAAAAGTCCACTGCTAAACATAGCCTCCCCATAGATTGGCTTATGAGCGGATTTTGCCATAGTCGCAATGCTCGGCAGGTTGTGTTGGCAACCGCAGTTTTTGAGGTAAAAATTCTTTATCGACGTAGTGGACAAATTAAATACGGTATTAAAAAAACAAGAAACGTCTCGTTTTCTTGTAACATTTCACCACTGGGGCTGCCTATACTATATTATTTAACCTACTTATGTAAAATTTAAAATAAAAGAGGAATGTTATGTCGTAAAGAAATTTCACTTCGTACGTGTGTACACAAATACACGCACAATTTTCAATAGATAAGTTATTATCATGAAGATTTTGCTGCCCATCTCCAGTTTAAGTTTCCCTCTGTCGCCTCTTACGACACGCGCGGGATGATATGGGCTAGTGAATTCTCTTACATTAGCCCTTGAATTTTCTAACAAATTACGAGTAACTTCCCTCGCTATGAAAACTGTCAAATATTTAACCTCGTAAGTGGCGCCGCCCTGGTGGCAGAAAAAGTCGTGGATGCCATCTTGATTTTTATGTTAGTACTCTGTGAGAGCACAGCTGTTCTCATAATATAGCTGTAGCGGGGCTATATTACTTCTGGCTCTATAATAATAATAATAATGTTCTCCGACCGAATTTCGGTCACGGCGGCCAATTGACTAGCCGACGCAGGACAGGATTATAGTGCAGGAGCATGAGCACTGTATTCCCTTACTCATATAGTCCGATGCGACGGTAATCCACACGACCGGAGAGAGATCAGACGCACATAACACGGCGGTTTGAATTTTCTCAAGACCAACCCATGACAGACAAGTGTGTCGATGTACGCAGACAAATGTAATGTTTTTGAAAACTGATTAATATATTGAACTATACTTATTATTTCATATTTTTTTATACGTGTTAGAGCGACGCTGTAGTTATATTATTGTTGTAGCACAAATGGTTCGGCTCGACCGGGGTACAACCACTCTCTTACAGAATACCAGCGTAAAATAGCAGCTTAATGTTGCTGTGTTCCGTATGGTGAGTGTAGACCGGACACCCTTTTTACTGAAAACGTGGCTAACGAGGAATTCCACCTTACCTAATCCTCAAAGGGGACAACGCATCTGCATTTTGATTCTTGATCGGAGATAAATGTAGACGTCTATGGACCATAGCCCCAGTGGTTATTCTATAAAATATTTCATAAATGTGACTAATCACACTTGTTGTTATAGGAAAAGAACCCCAGTATACCAATACACAAGCTCTTATACCTTTTATATCCATACAACACGTTCCTTACTAAGGATCACGTTAAGAACGTACATGGAGTCTTGCACAACCTGAATATAGAAACAAAATCAAAATGGAGTATATCCCGCCAAAATGTGGAGTTCAGAGAAAACAAGGCTTTAGTGACCATGGAGATAAACGGCAATAAGTCACAATTTAGCGTGCCGTGCGGTGAAAGTGAATATAGAAGGGAAGAGAAGGGTTTCGTAAAGACTAGTTACCAGAATGAGCTGCTGAATGAGTTATTGTTGAGTCATAGTGTTGGAGACTTTTGTGTTATCGGTGAGTATAGTATATATTATTAACCGTGTCACAAATGATGCAGACCTACCTCTCCTCCTCTGCAAGGGTCTGGACGTATTTTTTAGAAATATATCTTAATTTGTTTCTGGCAATAAAAACGATTAAAATTTTACCGAAATAACATTACACAACCGGATACTATATCGTGTATTGGCGGTGTAAGATTATCCACTACCCCATATCATCTTGTAGGTGTCGTAAGAGGCGACAGAGGGATGCAAATCAGGGGATGGGGCAGCAGCATCTTCCTAATAACGACTAAAAATAAAAATAAAAACTGCGGTTGCCAACCCGCTTGCCAAGCGTGGCAACTATGGCAAATATACGTTAATAAGCAGTAACGGTAACAAGCTACTCAAGAAACACAGCGATTGAAGAAATTTCAGTACAATTTTATTACACGCAATGTATTGTTGGTCTATGAAAAATCTAGGAATAATTCCGTACAAGGCGTGAATACGTCGGTCGGAAATGCATACGTTTCAGGGCAGACATTTTAAAGTTTATATTTTATTTGTTAAATTAAATTTTATGTTAATTTTATTTTTGTTTCATTGTATTTAATCAATTTTATCGGCGTTTTCAGATAATGTAAGAATATTTATAAATTTTCATATTAATCAACAAAATAAATGACATATCAACTTGTTCACCGATGACTTGTCAATTTATTCACCTAAGTATTAGCACATTTCTTGGATAAAATAAATTATAAATCATAGACATTAATCTCATAATTGTATGAATTAATCAATGCTCACATAAAACACAATATACGTATTTTGTACCTTTAATACTTATACAAAATACATATATTTTATTTTAGTATCAAATCACGGTAGTTGTTAACATTCAGTTATATTCTTATTCCTTTTCTTACAAATCGGGTCTATCAATCTAATTGTGACTATCAGTCATGTTTTTTAAAAAATAATGAAAAACGGGATCTAAAAGACTACACGGATTGCTGGTAATAAATCCAGCAATCCGTGTAGTGGCGATATAAGAATATCCACTAACTCATATTATTGTCACGTGGGTGTTTTAAGAGGCGGCACAGGGAAAGTAAAACAGAAGAAGAGTAGCAGCATTTTTCTGATAATAACTTTGTATCACAGTGACACCTTCATTTACTCTCGATTAGGCATCAAAATGCAGATGCGTTATCACCCCTAAGAACTAAGATAGAATGCCTCCGAAAACAAAATTCGGTAGTGGTAGAAAACAGCCTCGAGGATAGCATTAAGCCCACAATAATATATACTGTCATTCCACCTAGGCAGGCGTAACATTTCTTTGACATTCAGTTCAAACAATAAATTTCCCCGAAGCGCCAATACGTGGCGTGAATAGGTTGACAAGTCGGCTTGCATCTGATTCTAAAATTGTTCAAAAATGGCATCTGGATTGCCTAATTTATATGGTGAATAAATGTGTAAGTCGATAGGCTTACCTACTTATTTTTGGTGAAACCCATTTGTGAATTTTAAACAACTTCGTGACGTGACTCCGTTGACGGCTCCGTGGCGCAGTGGCTTAGCAATGAGTTGCTGCGCTGGGGGCCGCGGGTTCGAATCCCGCACTGTACAAGTATTTGTATGGCCTACAAATAATTGTTCCGGGTCTGGATGTTTGTCCTTGTGCAATTTGTGTTTGTAAACTGTCTCCACGATACAGGAGAAAATCCTAGTGTGGGGGTAACGTTTAAAAAAAAAACTCTCATACTAATGAGTACAATATGACAACTGGACATTATCTAAAGACACTTACCATGAGGCGAACTGTGTGCTTGTTTAACACTTTAACTTAAAATAAACAAAAATTCATAGTAATATGTTACATGTAGAAATGTTATAAATATTATGGTTTTCTCGTTACAAGGTCCAAAAGGCTGCGGCAAGAGTCTCCTCGTATCTCAACTCGCGTCTTTAGTACATTACACAATAGAGCCGATAGTCCTTTACCAGGATATGACGGCCAGGGATCTAGTGCAGCAGCGTACCACGCTGGACAACGGAGACACAGTGTGGAGGAACTCTGCGCTTGTTGAAGCGGCGTTGAAGGGACATATGGCGGTACTGGATGGCTTGCATAGAATCCATTCCAGTACTCTAGCTGTTCTACACAGGTAATAGTTTTATTGGTTTTATTAAGCAGTTATTACCATTACAGCATACCAAAGGCCACCTTTGAATATAGCCCTCTCCCATACCTCCAACCGCTGATTTTATAATTTTTATATGTTACTAGCTGGTACCCGGCGCGTTGTAGCCGCAGAAGAAATAACTGCGGAAATATCGTTTTAAATTTCGAAGGGTTATTATAATGAGAGTGATAAAACATTCATTGACGTTGAATGATATATAACTTTCGAATAAATTTGTCAATACAATACGCGCGCCACCTAGTGTATGTTGATTGTACTATGCCTATAACCTTCGTGGAATTGCATGCAATATGTTGACAAAGTCTTACCGTAATCTGATGAACGGCTTGGCAGCGCATAAAATACGAACAAACAAAATAATTTTTTATATTATTAGATTTGCTGGTACCCCTCGTGTTGCTGCCGCAGAAAAAATAATTGTGGAAATGTCGTTTTAAATTTGGAACGGCTATACTGTTTAATTAGGAATGATAATACATTTATTGAAGTTGAATGATATACCTACATAACTTTCAGATGAATTTGTCGGTACGATACGTGCGCCACCTACTGTAAGTTAATTGTACTATGGTATGCCTGTAACCTTCGCGCAAGTGCAAGCAATAAGTTGACAAAATTTTACGTCAATCTGATACGTACGTTAGCGCATCAAATACATACAAACAAACATTAATTTTTATATATTAGATTAGGATGATGCTGCTGCCATCTCATACTTCATTTCCTTCTGTGGCCTCTTATAAGACGAATGTGACGATATGGGGTAGTGGATATTATTACACCGCTACCTCAGGGTGACATAATTATTTACAAGTGGAACTTTTTATCATAACCTTAATATAATTTTGGTATAAGATTGACGGTGTAAGAGAATCTATCATCTCAGACTATAGAAAATGCATGGAAGATATTATAGCTTCCGATAGGTGGCGGTATAATCATTGCGCTTACGCCAGATGTATAATAGCTAGACGGGCGACGGGCAGCTGCGTCAAAGGCGCTCAGGTCTGGTACAGCCATCGTCAATTCGCCCGCCTGGCGTGATGATTAATTTTAATTAATTTGCTCATATGCCTCCTCTACACTACTCGCGAAGTAACTTTGACTGAGTACTCGTCGAAGTCGATTGCAGTCCGAAGAACGTGACTACACACTCGTGCTACTTCGCGAAGAGCTCAGTCGTCTTGAGTCTCCCGCACCCTTAACATGAATAACGTTCAAGAGGCAGCTGCTATAGGTACCTAATTGTGTGAACAGTACGACGTCAATGCGTTAACTAAATAAATAATTATGTAGAAAGCTACATATTAAATATTTATAATTAAAAAAAAATCATAACTGGCGTGAGCCGATTAGTTTAGTGAGACGCTTCATGTAACTTCGGGGTACTTCGCGAAGTCGTTTGACTCTGGCCCAAAAGACCGACAGCGATCGGAAGTCGCTCGAGGCGAAGCGAGGTTGCACGAAGCGAATCGAAGTACCTCTCTACACTATTCGCCTCATCCAACTTCGATCTAGTTCGCGAGTAGTGTAGAGGAGGCATTAAAGTTTAGAACAGGATATGTCATATTGCATGCCTTAAGCGCTAAGCGCGTAGGTATATTCTGTTAGCGCCTAAAAATCAAGATTCCAACGTTTTGTCGCATAAAATCGTATCTAACAATCATATTGACCATATAAATGATATAATAAGCACATTTTCAGAAAAATAAATGATTGTTGAACTTACTAATATTTTTTTTTTAAATCAATTAATTGCTGTTTTTATATAAAAAAAACTGGTTTTAGTGGCTTATGGTGTAGATTTATCAAGTCCGCATGGAGTGGTAAACACGATAACAATTGTTTAACTCAATCTATTTTTTTATATCTTCATCAATCATGTGGGAAGCCATGGAATGTAAATGGCAGTTTAATTTTCCTTTGTTTAGTTATAATTAATTTTTTTCGGCCTAGAAATCCTGAAATTTTCGTTGTTTTAGCAGCCTTGTAATAATTTATTTTACTAAATGGACTGCGTCACTCACTCACTTCGGCGTCAACCGTCGTCGTGCGTAGATACTGTATCGGTTGTTTGCAGCGGCTCAAAAAGATCGCTGTATAAATACAAAATATTCGAAAAACCAAAATTTCATACATACTTGATTATTATTATAATAAATAGAGATTTTTATTACAATATTTTAAAAGCACAGAATAAATAATAGTACAACGTACTAAAAGTAAGTAGGATGTATATATTTAAGCATATTTATACTTAAATACGTCTTGGACATTATGGAGTGACCTAAATGATGATAAGATGATCATATGAGCATTATGAGTCGTAGACTTTTGGATTTTCCAAACTTTTTTTAATTGAAGTTTGACATAAAATTATTGGAAAGTTGGAAGTATAATAATAAGGTTATTAGTGTACCAGGGCGACATAATCGCATCAGCGACAAAGCCCTTTATCTATGAATAAAAAAAAGGTTATTAGTGTAAATTTGTGTGTTTTGTTTAATCATGTTATACGTAATTTTTTTCAATGCGCTTAAGGCATGAACAATTGGATTTACCCGTAGTTTTTGTTTTACCACTAGTTAGGTAGTAGGAATGAATCAAAAATTCACCAGGTTCAACAGTATAACTCTTTGCAATTATCTCAGATCCTTAAGGAAATATAACCAGAGCGCTGCGTACATTTAGTGTGCCGAAACCAAAATCTTGACACAAATTCTTGACATGCACTCATGCACACATTTATCTACTTTCATTTTCTTTAACATCCCGTTAATGTACACTGTTGGACGTACACATATGCGTGTTCTTACAATAAGTCAAGCATGAATTTAGCTTGAATTGGACGCCGCGCCCTTGCTGTCTATATTTTATTTTTAGTCTGAAGCTATTATATATTATATTGTGTGGACTGCTACGTTGGTCTAGTGGCCATAAATGCGATTACTGATTGTGAGGCCCCGGGTTGGTATTCCGGGTCGGGTCAAAAATGTTATTGAATTTTTCTGTCAAGAAATTCTCCGTAGCATCCCGGAGTCAGGAAGTTGGCGGTGTTTCACTCCCGCGCCTCGGAAAGCACGTAAAACCGTTAATCCTGCGCCTGATCTCTCTCCGGTCTTATCGGTTTGCGGTCCCGTTGGACTTTAATGCCTCCTCTACACTACTCGCGAAGTAGATCGAAGTGACGAGGCGAATTGTGTAGAGACGTACTTCGATTCGCTTCGTGCAACCTCGCGTCGCCTCGGTCGTCGGTTTTTTGCGCCAGAGTAAAGGATTTCGCGAAGTACCCCGAAGTTACACGAAGCGTTTCACTACACTATTCAACGTACGCCAGTTATGAATATTTTTTTATATATATAAATATTAAATATGTAGCTTTCTACATAATTATTTATTGAGTTTTAGCATTGACGTCATACTGTTCACTCAATTAGGTACCTATAGCAGCTGCCTCTTGAACATTATTTATGTTAAGGGTGCGGGAGACTCAAGACGACTGAGCTCTTCGCGAAGTAGCACGAGTGTGTAGTCACGTTCTTCGGACTGCGATCGACTTCGACGAGCACTTCGTCAATGTTACTTCGCGAGTAGTGTAGAGGAGGCATAAGAGTAAGGAAATAGGGAGTGCATACGTTCGCATACACTGTGCGCATACACTCACAGTCTCCGTTGAGACTGGCCGACCGAAATTCGTTCTGAAGGACATACATTGTACATATAATTTTAGAAATAGCTTAGTACTCGTTAATTATTTGCTAATACAGATAATATTGTATTGTATATACTCTTGTAAATTATTTAATATGTTACTAAGTTCATATCACAACTATTTTGGGATTGTTTTATTTCCAATAAAAGTAAGTCGTAACTGCGTCAGCAGTTCTTATTAACTTGTGCTCGTAACTATCACCTTATTTCCGGGAACTCTCGCAATACCAATTGGAATCTCTAACATTTAACGAATAATAGAAAATAAATATAAATTAAATTCATATTTCCTCAGTCTAGTGCACAACCGGGCACTACAACTCCACGACGGGACGCGGTTGTTACGACACGACAGATATGACGAGCTGCTGTCGATGGGCATTAGTCAGCAGGAGTTAGACGAAAGTGGCGTAAAGAGAATCCATCCAGCGTTCAGGTAAACCACGACGTTATTTGTTCCGATAGCTGTGTGAAGTGAAGTGAATGGAACACACCATTTGCATCAATCGGCCAATCGCCATTTACATTTTTATAAACTGAAAGGAACTTAGGGCTGAATCTGAATGACAGGGCGAAAAATTGTGTGATAAGAGAAAAGTGTGGTTTGCAAGGTGATGTTGTGATCAGGATTAAGAAAGGAATTCTTCGGTGGTTTGTTCATGTAGAAAGAATGAACGAGGATAGAGTGCCAAAGCATATCTATGTTGCAGATGTGAATGACAGAGTCGGAACCCCCTAGATGAAAGTTTATCGATGAAATTGGCGATATATTGAAAATGGGCCAGATTAGGAGTACCCTTCACCGATGAGCATGTATGTGTAGGTATATGGATGTAAAGGAGGCGAGAGAGGTGTCAGGATTATGCATATGATTATGAAGTCCGTAGTCTCTGCTTACCCCTTTGGGTGACAGGCGTGAATGTTTATATTATATTATGTTATGAACTTACAGTCCACCTGCACGGCTAGCATGGGCTGGGGACAACAATTTTACACCCCGATTATATTCATTGACAACAGATAAAATTATGTAGTCCCTATGCCAAAGCATGGTAACGGGGAGAAGTATATCCTCGTTCGACATAATGAGTTAACATATATCCCCCGTCCGTAGAATGGAGCCAAATGAAAGAAAAAAAATTATGCATATTTACATTAGAAAGGAACAATTTTATCCTAATTCATTGAACCTGGGTAAAACTAAAAACTAAAACTTAATTATATACATACAAAAAGTCTATCTAATTCTATCTCCCATTTTATCTACTGTGAACATTATATCCACCGGTGTGCCCATGCTCGAAGCGTGGATAAAACTAAGCGAGAGGATAAACATTTTCTCCTTTCCCCGGGGATAAAATTGTCTCCCGCTCATGCTAGCCCTGCTGATAGTAAGTAGCTACTGCGGTCCAAGGGCACGCGAGACCAATTTCAAACGAAGTAGGTGCAGATGCTTTGTCACCCTAGAAGACTATAATGGAATGCCAGCGTAAATTAGCAGCTTAACGCTGCTGTGATTCGTATGGTGAGCGTAAAGAACCGGAGACCCTTTTTACTGGAAAAGAGGCATTCCATATTAGTCCTCATGGCTGACAAGACATCTGCATATTATTCGCAAACGAGGATAGATGTAGATGTCTATGGGCCGCAGCAACCACTTACCATCAGGTGGACTGTGTTTGTCACCCTTGTCCTATAAATAAATGCCTCATAGTCAATACATATACTGGCTCTCTAGGGTATATATTAGGCTAGAAAACAGCACGCACTGCTGTTTGACGGCAGAATTAGGTAAGAGGGTGCACCTACCTAGACGGACACCCTAGACAAGTGGTAAAATTAAAAATTTTGTACAACCGACTTCAATATAAATTATTAAGGATAACTCAAAAACTACTGGTCAAACCTTGATCAAATTTATATGGGACTATCTGGGAAGTACCCGTTGAAACAAAAATATAATTTTCCGAATCGGTTCGTCGTCTTCTAGTAATCGGTGAACATACATAAAAAAATCTGATTAATTGAGAACCTCCTCCTTTTTGAAGTCGGTTGAGAAGGAGTTCTGCCACCCAGTAGACTATTTATTTGGTGCGTCATCTATGGAATAGGACGCGCCATTTTTGTGGAAATGGGTAAATCGCCATTTACATATTTATTACGAGCGTAGGCTGTGAAAGAGAACACGCCATTTTATGGAAATCGATATGTCGCCATTTACATAAATTTTACTACATTTACGTTGTAATTTAAAATACAAAAATAGAAGGCGAGTTTATATAGAAGGAAGAGCTTCTTAGCAAGCTGTGGTATTGCACGGATTGTAGGCGTTGAACTTAATTTATTTCATAAGTACTAACTGGGATTCGAACGTAGTATCACTTTCATTAAGCAAGCAGCTTCGCTAACCAACTATGTCGCAGTTTTTGTTGTATGTTTCTTTTGCCAGGTCTGGGTGTTTGTTTATGTGCTATTTACGTATGTAGAATGCCTCCACTATACAGGAGTTTCTATTTTATAATAAAGGAAGGAGTTAATAAAAAAATAAATAAAGAAAAAATACAGGAAAGTACGTATGCATAAATTTAATATATATAATATTACTACATGTTTCTATTATAGATTACAGGAAAATACGTATGCATAAATTTAATATATATAATATTACTACATGTTTTTATTATAGAATACAGAAAAATACGTATGCATAAATTTAATTTATATAATATTCCCACATATTTTTATTATACAATACAGGAAAATACGTATGCATAAATTTAATATATATAATATTACTACATGTTTTTATTATAGAATACAGAAAAATACGTATGCATAAATTTAATTTATATAATATTCCCACATATTTTTATTATAGAATACAGGAAAATACGTATGCATAAATTTAATTTATATAAAATTCCCACATATTTTTATTATAGAATACAGAAAAACACGTATGCATAAATTTAATTTATATAATATTCCCACATATTTTTATTATAGAATACAGGAAAATACGTATGCATAAATTTAATTTATATAATATTCCCACATATTTTTATTATAGAATACAGAAAAACACGTATGCATAAATTTAATTTATATAATATTCCCACATATTTTTATTATAGAATACAGGAAAATACGTATGCATAAATTTAATTTATATAATATTCCCACATATTTTTATTATAGAATACAGGAAAATACGTATGCATAAATTTAATTTATATAATATTCCCACATATTTTTATTATAGAATACAGAAAAATACGTATGCATAAATTTAATTTATATAATATTCCCACATATTTTTATTATAGAATACAGGAAAATACGTATGCATAAATTTAATTTATATAATATTCCCACATATTTTTATTATAGAATACAGGAAAATACGTATGCATAAATTTAATTTATATAATATTCCCACATATTTTTATTATAGAATACAGGAAAATACGGATGCATAAATTTAATATATATATATAATATTACCACATGTTTTTATTATAGAATAGTGGCACTTGCCGAACCGCCAACATTCGACCGCGGACAACATTGGTTAACACCGGAAATACTCAGCCTCTTCATATTCCACGAGATGCGCAATCTGAGTAAAGAAGAAGAAATATTTATCATCAAATCGTTGGTAAGTATTTTTCAATTACTGAAAGAACATAATGAGAATTCCTCACTTTATTCGTCCAGTGGCTTCCGATAACAGATGGTGGGAATACAGCCCCGTTTCAACAGGCGTAAAATCGTAAGTCTGACGATAGCGGGTAGTGCCAAAGGTGCAAGACATGATGGTACTGTGATCGTCCATCCGCCTACAACGGAAGAAGCCTATATCCAGCAGTGGACTTTTGACGTGTTGGTGATGAGGAAAAATAAAATATAAAAAATGCTATTTTAAGCAAAACATTCATTAAATGAAATAATTTTTTATGGATTTTATCGCGTTTAATTTAACTTTTTATTCCGACGTTTCGGGTGCTTTACAGCACCCATGGTAACGGCGGGGGGGGGGGGGGGGGCTGAGGTTTTTGACGTCCCGATGTCATAGTTAGCCCGGCTACCTTTAGTTATTTAATAATAATTTTTATTCCGATCTACGCAGAATGAACTTACAGTATCTTGATCTCATCTGCGTAGATCGGACCAAAAAATAACACTGTTTTAGTGTTTTAAAAGTACCTATTGAAGATTTTTGGCAATGGAATGACCGAACGTATTACCGTTACAGGCTATCAAATTCCACTACTGAACATATGTAGGTCTCCCCCATAGAGTGCCTCATAGGAGGGATATTTGCCATAGTTGTCACGCATGTCAGGCGGGTTGGCAACCATTATAATATTTTTTGATTGCGGTTACATTGGTAGTGGTTATTCTAAGACCGCCACTACTCGGTTAATTACCTCTTTTTATAGAATAAGGGTGACAAACGAGCGTACAGTCCACATATTGGTTGTTAGACATCTGCATCTATTCACGATTAAGAATCAAAATACAGATGCGTTATCACATCTGAGGACTAGATGATGAATGCTTTGTTTCCAGTATAAAGGGTCTTTTCCAGTATAAAGGGTCTCTGATTTAATCCCGATCACCCTACGATCTTTTCGCAGGGAACGCAGCCAGCGTTCTTGGCACTAGATCACTGAGAGTAGGGCTGTATGATAATTGGAGTTTTTAGTTTTAGTTTTTTTTTTATTGTGATAATAAATATATTGTATATCTTAAAGTTATGTAAATACATTTTATACACAAAAGACGAGATAAAATTATGTCTATTATGATTTATATATAGAATATCTCAGGTTAGTAGGTAAATAATTTAATACTAGCGATTCGCCCCGACTCCGCACGGGTGATTTCTGGATCTCGACAACAGCGCCACCTACCGGATCCAAATATAAATCTCAACCATTTAAGTATCCATTCAAACACTCACAAAAAATTCATCAAAATCCGTCGAGACGTTTTGGAGTTTTAGTGAGACTAACGGACAGCAATTTATTTTTATATATAGATATTATTAAAAATTCTTCGTGAATGTACACCAAAGTAATGTTTTTATAATGTAAACCACTTTTTTATTCACAGTACGGAGAACTATCACCACCCCTACTTTCAATAATCGACTTAGCGGACGAGCTACGAAAGTCAGAAGACAACACATTGAAAAGTCTCTCCTCTTCTCTGTCAACGCGACAGCTGCTCAGGATTGCTAAGAGAATGGCGAAATACCCTACAGACTCAGCCTACGAGACTGTTCAGCGGACATTTCTGGCGAAATTCCTACCTAACTTGGCCAGACGTGCGCTAGATAGCGCTAGTCAAAAGATCGGCATAGAACCACCGTCTCGTTTCGGCCTTTTTGGTCGAGGCGAAGGCAAAATGGTCTGCCATGTCCGGAATGGAATACTGACAATCGGCAATACAAGTGCAGAAGTGTATAAAACTGAAGCATTAACCAAAGTCCCCGATATTCTTTTCTATGACGTACCCCAACATATAAAATTATTGGAGTGGTTGCTCCAAGACCTCCAACTAGGCAATCATTTATTGCTGGTCGGTAATCAAGGTGTGGGAAAGAATAAGATCGCAGACAGACTGTTGCAGCTTTTGAATCGCCCGAGGGAATATATACAATTGCACCGGGACACAACGGTGCAGTCTTTGACAGTCCAGCCAACCGTCAAAGATGGAATTGTCATTTATGAAGACTCGCCTCTAGTGAAAGCCGTGAAACATGGCCACGTGTTGGTTGTGGATGAAGCGGACAAAGCCCCAACAAACGTGACATGTATTTTGAAAACTTTGATGGAAAACGGAGAGATGATACTGAGTGATGGCAGACGGATCGTTCCCAAGGATATGATGAACATTTCTGGTGGCAATCCAGCTAGTTTTATTCCCGTGCACGACGATTTCAGAATGATAGTTTTAGCTAATCGACCAGGCTTCCCGTTCTTAGGGAACGACTTCTTTGCTTCTCTAGGTAATTTTAAATTTTCTAATAGTAATCTTTAACTTGTTACAGTTTCTCATGGTATAGTAATTTACTGTGCCGTAAGAGAGCTGATCTGATTTCGGATGCGGAATTCCCTTTACATATGAAAAAAATGAAAATGTAAAATCCTTTATTTGACAGGTAGCAAACCTCTTTACAAATAATCTAGCAGTAGTGTAGCACCTTTAATAATAATCTAGCAGTGGTTCTCACACTAGGCACGTTGACCTGTACCGTGAGAGCTATATTTTTAGTGTACATTTTCCTACTTCTCTGTCCCCTAAGATAGAATGCCTTGATGCCATTAAAAAGGGTCTCCTGTTCTCTAAACTCAACATACAATACTCAGTAGCATTCAGCTGATATTTTACGCTGGTATTCTGTGAGAGCGTGGTCTTTCCACGGTAATATAGCTGCAGCATGGCCTCTACTACGTTAGTATTGTAGGTATGCAACTAGTGGCATGGAACACGGAACACTTATCAATGCAAACGATTGTCAAATTATTTGAGTTACATATTTGATAATTTAGTCAATTAAAATAATTTTAAGAGCTGTTCAAATAATTCCTATGGAAGTTGTATGGAAATATAATGTTATGACGTCAAAGATTGTATAGCCGATGTGTCACGTTGGTCTAGTGACGTGAACGTGACTGCTGATTACGAGATTCCAGGTTCGAATCCCGAGTTGGACCAAAGAGATAAATTATTGAGTTTTTTTGTCAAGAAATTCTCAATAGCAGACCGGAATCAGCGAGTTGACGGTGTTTCAACGTCATACCTCAGAAAGCACGTAAAGCCGTTTATTTTGCATCTAGTCTCTCTCCGGTTGTGTCGGTTCGTCGTCCCATCGGATTATGAGAGTAAAGGAATAGAGCTGCACCTGTGATTGAGTACCAATTGCGCACACACTTGGACACTATAATCTTGTTCTGCACAGATGGCTAGTCTCCGTTAGGTTTGGTCCTTGTGACCGAAGTTCGGTCTGGAAGACATTATTATTATTATTAGTAAATTAATTATTTTATTTATATATTTTTAAATAATAAAAATCTAATATAACTTAAAATGCAAAATCGACCAAGTCTAAGATACTACTAAAAGTAGCTAAGTTAAAGAATATAATGTAGTAATTTATTAATGAAGGAAAACATCGTAAGGAAATGACATGTGAAGTTCGCCAACACATTGCGCATTGAGGCAGCACGGCGGATATTTTCTTGCCCTATCAGAAATGGGAGGAGGCCTGTGCCCAGCAGTGGGACGTATATATGCTGTGAACTTTAACTTTTAATTTATTAATAATTAAACTACACAATTGTTAATATTAGAACATTTATTTCGTCTTTATATACACTTGTATTATGTACTTGATCCTCAACCATAGTACTTTACCAATATAGTACTTTGACATTAATTACTTAATATGTTATTCTAGGTGACCTGTTGTCATGTCACGCGGTCGACAACCCGTCAATTGAGTCAGAGCTTGAGCTACTACGATCATACGGGCCCGACGTACAAGAAGACGTGATGAAGAAGCTTGTGCAGGCATTCGCAGCTCTACGTAACATGGCTGACCAAGGACAGCTGACCTATCCTTACTCCACGAGGGAGCTTGTTAATATTGTTAAACATTTGCAGGTGAATCTGCGTTACGTTTTTTACGTGGTACAGCCATGCTGCAGCTATATTACTTGTATAGTTTACATTTTGATTCGCAAACGAGGATATATGTAGATGTCTATGGGCAACAGCAACCACTTACCATCAGGTGGACTGTGTGCTCGTTTGTCACCCTATCCTATAATTAAAACTTGAATTTGAATCGTTGTGTACGTGGTAGAGCCATGCTGCTGCAGCTATATTAGTAGTATTGCTGTAGCACGAATAGGTCGGCTCGACCGGGGAAGGACCACGCTCTCACAGAATACCAGCGTAAAATAGCAGCTTAACGCTGCTGTGTTTCATATGGTGAGTGTAGAGTACCGGAGACCCTTTTTACTGGAAAAGAGGCATTCCATCTTAGTCCTCACGGGTGACAACGCATCTGCATTTTGATTGGCAAACGAGGGTAGATGTAGATGTCTATGGGCCACAGCAACCACTTACCATCAGGTGGACTGTGTGCTCGTTTGTTACCCTATCCTATAAAAAAATATTCTTCGCGTTGATATCAATTAAACATACTTGGCAGTAATCTCTGATACACAATAAAATATTTAATACACATTTGAAGTGTTTATTATCCAGTAGAGACATTTGTATAGTCATTTTTTTCAGCCTGTAACTGTCCACTGCTAGGTTCCTCCCATTGTTGGCAATATTTGATGAAATATCCACACTTGGCAGGTAGATTCTGCTTCTCGTTACCTGTGTCTTACATCACATACGTAATTTTCCAGGCATTTATCCAAGTCTTATTTTGCGATGGGATGAGACGGGATAATAGATCCCACATGGCAACACCATTCTGAACGTGCTCAGCGACAAGCCTGACTGCCCCCTTCTGCGGCACTGGGTACAAATGCATGTGCCCGGTGCCCCAGATGGTGGCAGATACACGAATTATATTGTAGATTAATATTCAAGTAATTAATATTAAGTAGTTTTTAAAAAGATTAGATTGAATTATATAAAATTAAATTAGATGAGATTAAATTTATTATAATGTAAATGTTTTTTTCTTATGTCACTTGTATGGACTCAGTCTGAAATAAATTGATTTTTTTAATAAAGGGTGTAAAACAACAGGTTCAAAATACCATTTAAATATCTACTAATATATTATGTACCCTTTGATTTCATTTTCTAGAAATATCCCGAAGAGGATTTGGCAACGGCGATAGGCAACGTGTTCGATTTCGACCGTTACAGCAAAGATATGGCCGACACGCTGTTGGAGGTGTTGTACTCCAGTGGACTGCCGACAGAGGGCGTGCTACAGGGACGCTCTAAAGACGCAATGAAGAGATTGCAAATGACGATTGAAAGGAAAAGTGGGTAAGTGCTGAGGAAGTGACGTTAATATTACTATGTAATGATCCTTATTAATTAACTAGCTGATACCCGCGACTTGGTCCGCGTTGCTTGATATATCAAGAAAACACACATCACTGAACACGTAGTGATTATAAAATCGTTGTTTTAATATAATTTTGTAAAACTTGAATAACTTTATATTAAATGAACATATCGCAATATTTTTTTTTAGATTTAGAAAAGCTAATTGAAATCTATCCAGTAGTTTTTCCGCGATTAATAATTTTATCTTCAACCGCGATTTTTACTTCAATGTAAGTAATAATTGCGCTTTACATACATTGCTTGTGATTAATTTCATGTTGATTAACGATCATGTATACTATTTCGCCAATCGTCAATCTGTTCGCTAAGTGAGGTGATTACGTAAACAATTCTCAATTTGGAAGATACAAGCGTGCAGAAGTGAATTTAGGTGTGAATTAATGTATAACGTTGAACAAAGTCTAAAAGCTAAGGATTTTGAACAGATTATAATAAACGAAGTACATTTCACAATAAAAATATTTTCCTAGAGTCGACGACACCCACAAGACGAAATAGGGTAACGAATCATCTTACGCTGTCATCATATTAGTGTATTACGTCCGGGTTAAAATAATCAACTCCGTGATGAAAAGCAGCGTCACACGTGTGAGACGCCTGTACGGCTATAACCAATCCCTCCGCCAAGCGTGGATTATGGAAACTTCATCAACGAGAGCCCATGCATTGCAGTGGACTTTTATGAGCTGATGGAGAACATATTAAAGATGTTTAAATTAATTTAAGAACAAAATAAGATGTTTAAAGTACTTACCAAATTATTTTTAAGCAAATTCTTTAATATAACGAATTTCCGCAGAGTAACTCCTGATTCTGTATTATCATGATTCTGTATTCCGTGTAGTGGTGGGCAAGAATACCCACTACCCCATATTTTCCTGTGGGTATCGTAAGAGGCGACAGAAGGAAACTGAGGCCGATGAGCAGCAGCATCTTTCCGATAAGAGTAAAATAACAATAAAAAACTGCGGTTGCCCATCCACTCGCCAAGCGTGGCAACTATGGCAGTATACCCCCCATTATGAAAGGTACGAAGAGACGGTCCCTAGTCGTAGTGGCGACTAGGGACGATGGTAACGGCGGGGCAGGGGGTGCTAAGAATCTCCGATATAGGTTCGGTTGCCACCTAAGACAACTCGACCTGGCAACATATAACGTACGCACCCTGAGGACTGACGAGAGGATCCTTGGGCTGGAAAAAGAGATAGACAAGCTGCGCTGGAATATTATAGGACTATCCGTGGTCCGAAGAGAGGGCAATGACATGGTAATCCTTTGTTCTATCACCGGGAGGATGACCCTCTGTCCCAAGGACCTTATACTCAGAACCATAAAACGGTATTCGCTGAAGGTCATACAGGTTTGAGCACCGACCTCGGCACATCCCGATGAATAGGTGGAGGAAATGTATAAGGATATCTCTAAAGCCATGCTTTCCTCCAAAATCCACTTCATGGTGTTAATGAGAGACTTCAACGCAAAACTAGGTACAACAGAGAACGGTGAGCTGAATGTAGGGAAATTTGGAATAGGGCGACGGAATCCAAGGGGCCAGCAGCTGGCCGTCTTCATGGAGAAAGAGGGACTCTTTATGATGAACTCTTTCTTCCAGAAGCGGCCCCACATGAAGTGGATCCGGTCGAGCCCCGACGGTTCGGCAAAAAATGAGATTGACTTCAATATGATGACCAGATGTTAAATGTTCAGTGATCTCAGTGATCGCGAGGGTGAAAACTGGCTGCGATCACCGAATGGTAAGAGGCATACTGAACCTAAATATTAAGTTGGAGAGGTCACGTCTAATGAAGTTAATGCTCAGTCCCCCCTGTGTTCTAATCCAAAGTCCCGAAAACTTTCAGCTCTTATCGTTTTCAGTGCTGAAGATTGCAATGAAATGGACGATACGAATGATAAGCCATAGACCACATACATACCCTTCGGCAAATTGTACAGAAGACTGAGGAGTACATTCTGCCACTATGTCTTGCGTATGTGGACTATGAAAAAGCCCTTGATTCCGTCGAAATTTAGGCGGTGCCCTTCAGCAGTGTCGGAAATTGACTATTGCCATATCGAAGTGCTGAAGTGTTGGTACAGTAGGGCTACGATGGCTATCCGAGTACAGAACCAGGTTACGAAACCTATCCAACTGCAGAGAGGTGTAAGACAGGGTGATGTTATATCCTCGAAACTCTTCACCGCTGCATTGGAAGGCGTTTTCAAGGTACTGGACTGGAAAGGATACGGTATTAATTTCAATGGCGAGTAGATCACTCATCTTCAATCTGCCGACGATATAGTTCTTATGGCAAAATCGCTTGAAAACCTGAGCACTATGCTCAATGACATCAATAGTGCCTCCCAATGGATAGGTCTTAAGATGAACTTTGACAAAATAAAGATCATGTGTAACGTCCATGTCACACCTATGTCGGTAGTAGTTGGAAGCACTAACCTCGAATTTGTTGATGAGTATGTTTACCTGGGACAAATATTCTGTGACTAGGTAAGTCCAATTTCGACCGAGAGGTCAATGGACGGATTCAACTCGGCTGGGCAGCGTTCGGGAAATTACGACTCATCTTCTCGTCAAGTATACTTCAAAACTTGAAGACGATATTGTACAACCAGTGCGCGTTACCAGTGATGACTTATGGATCTGAGACGTGGTCCTTCGCTGCTGGCCATATGAGGAAGCTCAAGATCGCTCAGCGAGTTGTGGAGGGGGCTATGCTCGGGGTTTCTCTGCGTGATAAACTTAGAAATAAGGATATCCGCAGTAGAATCAGATTAAATGACATAACCCAACGGATCAGTAAGCTAAAGTGGTAATGGGGCGGCCATATAGCTCGAAGAACCGACAGCCAACGGGAAAAATGTTCTTGAGCCTCGTTTCGGTAAGCGAAGTGTAGGGCGATCTCCCAGTAGATGGAGTAACGACCTGGTAAGACATGCAGGAAGTCGATGGGTGCAGGTGGCTCAGGACCGTGCTTTGTGGCATTCCTTGGGGGAGGCCTATGTTCAGCAGTGGACTTGTGAAGAGCTGTAATGATGATGATGAACTCCTGATTCTATTAATTATCTAAGAAGAAGATAATAAAATAAATATATAAAGATTGTTTATATATTTATTTTCAGATTAGACGTATCTTCACCAAAGCATGGCAAAGAGGATCCGGACAACAAGCCGCACGTGGGCGGCAACACGTGGGCCGGCGGCACCGGCGGCCGCGACACGGCGGGGCTGGGCGGCAAGGGCGGCCCCTACCGCCTGGACAAGGGGCACGACGTGCATCAGGTGACACAAGAATTTATACGACTGAAATTGATAAGATTTTCACGAAATTTAGACCATTAAGAACAAGTATTTTACTTAATTTCGACCGAGTGATCAATCGACGGTTCCTACTCGTCTAGGCAGCATTCAGGAGATTGCGAGAAATTTTTCGTCAGGTACCGGTAAACTTTAAAACGAGTTTACAATCAGCACGTGCTGCCAGTGATAGCATTCATACTGCTTGCCTTATATGAAAGCTCATGCTCGCTCAGCGAGCTATGAATATGGCTATGCTCCGGGTTTCTCTGCACGATGGACTTTTGTAATAAGAATATTTGCAGTAAAACCAGAGGAACCGTTATAGCCCAAAGGATCAGTAAGTTGAGGTGACAATGGGTCCGTCATATAACTAGAAGAAGCGACAACCGATGGGAGAGGAAGGTTTTCGAGTGGCAGCCTCATACTGGTGAGCGAAGTGTAGAACAGCGCTCCACTAGGTGAAGTGACAATCTGATAAGACATTGGTTACAGGTGGCTCAAAAGGTGCTTCGTGTCATTCCTTGGTCTATGTTCAACAGTGGACTTGGTTGTAATGATGATGATTTTACTTAAAACATACAAAATATTTTTAATTAGCATATATCTATTACAGTCCATAAAAGCCCACCGCTGAGCATAAGCCTCCCCCATATATTTCTTCATTGGTTTGAATTTGGCCATTAATGCCATGTGGTGGGTGTTGTGAAGGAGACTATCTTTCTCGAGGGACAAAAAAAAGTAGAGTCCTTTTCAAGTGACGTCCATACATCAACTTATAAAAGTCCCCTTCTGTGAAGGATCTTTGCGAATTTTACACAATCACCACGCTTAGCAAACAAATCTGTCTAGATAAACAAAAACAGAGGTGTTCTTTCGTCTATTAACGCCACACCGCACACATCTTTAATCACTTACTCGCACCGTTTTACAATAAATAAAATAACACATAACTTACTAAAAATATGAAAGCTTGGCTGAAACGTATTGACGCTCTCTTTAACTTTGACCCCTCAAATTTTTACTTCTTTAATGTCCAAATACTCGAACACTGCTCAATTTTAAGATGCCGTTAAATCTCGTGCTGTCTCTATCACTTTAAGTGAAATTGACTGTGACACCATGTCACTTAACGACATCTTAAAATTGAGCAGTGTTCGAGTATTTGGCCATTAGTCACTTAAAATACAGAGTAGCTTAAGTCTGAACTTGGCGTCTAAGTTAACCATACGCTACTCAAAGCAGAGACTCAAAAATAATGAATTTTGTAAGTTGTGATTATAATAAGAAGTGGCGTCAGAGGAAAACTGAGGCAGCATATGGGCAGCGGCGTCCTTTTGCTAACAACGCAAAATAATAAAAAACTGCGGTTGCCACTCCGCCTGCTAAGAGTGGCAACGATGACAAATATCCAGCCTAAGACGCAATCTATGACTGAGGCTTATGTTCAATCGTGGATTTTCGGTAGGCTGTAATGATGATTATTGATGATTGTAGTTGGCGAAATGGTGAACTTCGTGTACTCAATTCGACTGTATTTTTTTTTGTTTTTTTTTTTTATGTGTGTTACCTCATAATTTTTTACTGGGTGAACCGATGTAGATGATTCTTTTCGATCTTCGATGATACTTCTCGTGTGGTCCCATATGAATTTGATCAAGGTCAGACTAATAGTTTTTGAGTTATTCTTAATAACTAATATTGAAGTCGGCTGTATAAAATTTTTAATTTTAAATTATTAGTTAAAGTTTTCATAACTATAGTAACTGGATATACATGTATTCGTAATGAGATATCTTTGTAACACACCTTTATCCACCAGCTATCTGATGAAGAGAAAAATGACATACCGGAGCACGTTAAAGAAGCGGCGCGAGCTATGAACAGGAAGGCCTTTGAGGAACGTCTGAAGGAGATCAAAATGAGCGAATACGACGCTAAGTTGTACGGGCAATTTTTGCGAGCAGTGCAGCCACAGGTAAATAATTCCTTTTTTTATTTTAACGTAACTTCTACCTTATTTATAAGTCTCTTCATCACCTGACTTTGTCCCATAAATGTTTCAGTGTTTGTGCACACAATTTCGGCTCTTTTTTTTTTTAATAAAACTGAAGTGACAAATGTACTTACAGTTCACCTGATGTGGATCGTAAGTGAGCGGAAAGTGGATTTTTTTGTAGAGTATGGTGACAAGCGAGCACGCAGTCCACCTGATGGTAAATGGGTGCTGTGGCCTATAGACATCTAAATCTATCCTCGATTAAGGATCAAAATGCAGATATCCAGTAAAACGAGTACTTCGTACTACTAAAAAGTACATGACTGATAATAACCCGCGTGTGATCGCTACCATGCTGTTTCTAAACGTGTTCATAATAATTGTATAAAATATTTTATTGTAAATTGTACTTTATAAAAAAATTGTCCCGCTGGGTTTCTTGCTGGTTCTTCCCAGGACAAAGGCTTCTTTTGCAAACTAGTGGTAAAAGTAAAAAATGAATTTCAATAAGAATTATGTACTATAATCTATATTGCAGAAAAATTATTTTATTCTATTCTATTCTATTCCGGTTCTCTACATTTATTTGAAGTCTTTTTTATTGAAGACTTTTTATTAAAAGTCATAATTATTTATTTGAGTTAAAATAGAGTAAGTGGTTCGCAGATTAATAAATAAGACTAATTTTGGCTTCGTTACTTATTCCCGAGCTTCTACGTTGATGTAAAAGAAGCGAGCACCATATCAAATGGATGCTAGTACTTTTTGCTTAATCCTCTGGATGACAAATGTGAGTGTATATTTTTTTTTTAGAATAAGGGTGACAAGCACACAGTCCATCTGATGGTAAGTGGTTGCTGAGGCCCATATACATCTACATCTGTCCTCGTTTGCGAATCAAAATGCAGATGCGTTGTCAGCCGTGAGGACTAAGATTGAATGCCTCTTTTCCAGTAAAAAGGGTCTCCGGTTCTCTACACTCACCATACGAAACAGCAACATAATGTATGCATGCATCTTTTATTTTGATTCTTTCTTACGTGTCTATTTTTATTCTTAAAGAGATAAGGTTTTCTTGCGGTTATTTTAACTGTCCACTTAGTAATTCAAATTGAATTATTTACTGCGAATTCGAGTTGTACTTTTAATTGTATCACTCTTGTAGGAATTTCATCCTGCACTATCGAGGCGTTTTATGTCTTCCACACTTTGAATGTGAATAAACCGGATAACCAAACTGGGAAAATATTGGTCATGCAAATACTTGTCTCATGCGAGAATCAAAAGCAAAGCTCGCAGTGACACACTGAACCGGTTAATATTTTTTATATTATACAGATTGCCGCTCTTCGTGGAGTGTTAGCTGAACTGCAAGCGAAGAAGAAAGAGAGACAGTGGAGCCGCCACCAGACTAGTGGAGAACTAGACGATAGCAAAATAATCGAAGGTAATGTTTATCTGAGTAAAAAAAGAAGTAATGAAAAGAAGAAACGTGTTTGATGGCAACACTGGCATATTAGTTAGGGCTCATTTTCATTGGTCGATAACGCGGTCGATATGCTGCATGCGGGGACCTGCCGTAAACGGGATAATAACTAGTGATTTTTCTACCGACTTCAAAAAGGAGAAGGCACTCAATTCGACTGTATGTTTTTTTATGTGTGTTACCTCATAACTTTTTCCTATGTGAATCGATTTCGATGATTTTGCAATTTGAAAGCTGGTGCTTCTCATGTGGTCCCATATAAATTTGATCGGGGTCTGACCAATAGCTTTTGAGTTATCCTTAATAATTTATATTGGTTGTACAAAATTTTTAAATTTACTACTTGTAGCAGATCAATAACGCAGACGATATACAGCATTCGGGGACTCCCCGCAGGCAGGGTAATGACCTACCTTTTAAGATTAAAGCCTTTAAGAGTTTACTGGTGAACATAGACACATCATCCATAGATTGTCTTACATTAAATTACACACATTGGCAACCACAGTTTCTTCTTTTTATTCTGCTGTTATCAGGAATATGCTGCTGCCCATCCCCTGCAGCTTTAGTGAACAGTTCGACGTACGCTCGCGATGGTTTCTGACAAAAAAGCATTGCGATGCATGCTGGGTACAGCTCTAATTTATATTACATTTATATTACAAATATAAACAGTGGTAGAGCCACGCGGCAGCTTTAGCTGTCGCACGGATGGGCCGGCTCGAAACCGGGGTGGTACCACGACCTCACAGAAAACCAGCGTGAAGTAGAGGTTTACCTCTGCGTTTCGCTTGGTGAGTGCAGGTGGCCGGAGGCCCTTTTTACTGGAAATGAGGCATTCTATCTTAGTCCTCACGGGTGACAACGCATCTACATTTTGATTTGTAATAGAGGATAGATGTAGATGTTTATGGGCCGCAGCAACCACTTACCATCAGGTGGACTGTGCTCGTTTGTCACCCTTATCGTATAAAAAAAATATGTGCTACTATTTTATTTGTCAGGTATAACTGGCGAACGGGCAATATATCGCAGGCGGATAGACCAAGAGCCACCACCAGGTTCTCCACCTGATAAACCTAAACGTTTGAGACTCGTACTCGACGTGTCCGGCAGTATGTATAGGTATGTAAAAATAGATCTTTTATTATAGATTTTAAGACTGTAAATACATTTTTTTTGTTACCTTTTATTATGTATTATGTACGTAACTACAGGGAAGTCATGTATTGGATGAAGACGATTGGCTTGATATCATTTTAATATAGTCCGCTGCCATTACCGTAGCTTTATGTTCCACGAAGTAGGTCCTTAAGGTTAATGTGAACACGACAGAGATCTAAATTTAATATTCAACTTCCATTGCACACATATATTAGTAAGAGTTGGATTTATTACGCTTGAAGTTTATGTATATGTAAGTATGCCCGGATTTGACCTTATCTGGCTAACGAACAACCATCGGGAAATCTTGTCTAGCAAATATTATATGATAGAGCCATGCTACAGCTATATTGGTAGTATAGTTGTAGCAAAAATGGGTCGGCTAGACCGGGGAAGGACCTCGCTTTCACAGAAAGCCAGCGTAAAATAGCAGCTTAACGCTGCTCTGTTTCGTATGGTGAGTGTAGAGAACCTGAGATCCTTTTTACTGGAAACGAGGCATTACATCTTAGTCCTCACGGGTGACAACGCACCTGCATTTTGATTCGTAATCGAGGATAGATGTAGATATTAATAGGCCGCAGCAACTACTTACCATCAGGTGGACTGTGTGCTCGTTTGTCACCCTTATCCTATAAAAAATATCATTTTATTTTGCTAGTGACAATAACGCTGTGTGGTAACGTTGTAAGATAATTCAATACATGTCACAAGAGGCGACAAAGGGAAATGAAACAATAGAAGGGCAGCAACATCTTCTTAATAACCTCATTACTCATTATTATAAGGATAGATTTAGGGTATATAGGCCACAGCATCAACTCACTGCCAGATTGTACGTACGGGGTTGTGTACTCGTTTGTCACTGTTACTTGTATATATAATAAACTAATTTCTCAGTCTATTAATTGTAAATAATCCAATGCTAGTTATAAGCGTCCCCCGTAATCAGGGAAGATTTGTTGTTTGGCCACACTTGACAGGTATGTCATCTGTAGTAGTACGTCTTGTAGTTTTGGAATATCTGAGATAGTTTCATCGCGAGCTGTTGAAGACCATGCTTGTAAGATAAATATAAAAGAAAACAAAGAAAGAAAGGTATTTTTGACAAACACACATTCAACAGGTTCGGACATATTAAGAGATAAAATTAATAGCTTTGTGTGATGTCAATATAATTTAAAATTAATAATTTTGTACAATCAACTTCAATATAAATTATTAAGAATAACTCAAAAACTATTGGTCAGACCTTGATCAAATTTATATGGGCCACAAGGGAAGCAACAGCTTTCAAATAAAAACTCAAAGAATCATCGAAATCGGTTCACCCAGTATACAGTTATGAGGTAACACAAATAAAAAAACATACAGTCAGACTGTGTACCGTCTCCTTTTTGAAGTCGGTAGAAAAAGGATACCGCCTCAGTGATATTCTGTGGGTGGGATTCTATAGCAGTGTTTTTCTGTTCTGGACTTATTTGTCGTCGGCGTAAAGAACACATATAAAGTATAGATCATAATAATCATAATATCAATAATAATAATTAAAAAAGAATGTTTTGAAGAATAAAGAAAAAACACTTATAACACAAATAATTTGACACTAGGTTCAATTCTTACGACGGTCGTCTAGAACGTTCTATGGAAGCAGTGGTGCTAATAACAGAGGCGTTGAAAGGCTACGAGTCGCGCATTCGGTACGACATATACGCACACTCCGGAGAAGATTCCGCTCTCGAGCTTGTTAGGGTGGACCGGCCGCCTGAAAATGAGAAGCAGAGGCTGCAGGTTAGTTAACATTTCTGTTTTGTTTCCGTAGAGTGACTTGCCGTGTTGAGAAACAGCTTTACGAAAAGTGAAACGGTGATGATGCACAACATTTCTTTTTAATTTACTACCGTTTCAAAACGAGGTTCTTCTGTCCTGAGCAGAGACGGCGAAAGGAACTCCGCAGGTACATATTCTCTTTTTTTTAAAGCCAGGGATAAAAAAATTATGCGCATAAGCAAAAACGTCTATCATACCATCATGCCCCGTGTGATGAGTTAAGGGGCGACAGAGTACTTGCTCTATAGCCGACAACTTTATGCTGTAGTGTTTAATTTTTGTACGTAGTAGACATAGTGCATCTATAATTATGGGTGTTTTTTTCATAGGATAAGGGTGCCAAACGAGCACACAGTCCACCTGATGGTAAGTGGTTGCTGTGGCCCATAGACATCTACATCTATCCTCGATTACGAATCAAAATACAAATGCGTTGTCACCCGTGAGGACTGAGATGGAATGCCTCTTTTCCAGTAAAAAGGGTCTCCGGTTCTCTACACTCACCATACGAAACACAGCGTGTTAAGCTGCTATTTTACACTGGTGTTCTGTAAGAGCGTGGTCCTTCCCCGGTCGAGCCCACCCATTATAACTATACTACTGATATAGCTGCAGCATGGCTCTACCACATCATTTCATCATCATCATCATCATCATTACAGCCCTTCACAAGTCCACTGCTGAACATAGGCCTCCCCCAAAGAATGCCACAAAGCACGGTCCTGAGCCACCTGCATCCATCGACTTCCTGCATATCTTACCAGGTCGTCACTCCATCTAGTGGGGGGACGCCCTACACTTCGCCTGCCGGTACGAGGCTGCCACTCGAGAACCTTTCTTCCCCATCGGTTGTCGGTTCTTCGAGCTATATGGCCGGCCCATTGCCACTTCAGCTTACTAATCCGTTGGGCTATGTCGGTCACTCTAGTTCTACTGCGGATATCCTCATTTCTGAGTTTATCACGCAGGGAAAGTCCGAGCATAGCCCTCTCCATAGCTCGCTGAGCGACCTTGAGCTTCCTCATCCGGCCAGCAGTGAAGGACCACGTCTCAGTTCTGTATGTCATCACTGGCAACACGCACTGGGTGTACAGTCTCGTTTTCAAGTTTTGAGGTATACCTGACGAGAAGATGTGTCGTAGCTTCCCGAACGCTGCCCAGCCGAGTTGAATCCGTCGATTGACCTCTCGGTCGAAGTTGGACTTACCTAGTCGGACTATTTGTCCCAGGTAAACATACTCGTCAACAACTTCGAGCTTAGTGTTCCCAACAACTACCGGCATAGGTGTGACATGGACATTAAACATGATCTTTGTTTTGTCCATGTTCATCTTAAGACCTATCCGTTGGGAAACACTATTGAGGTCATTGAGCATAGTGCTTAGGTCCTCCAGCGATTCTGCCATAAGGACTATATCGTCGGCAAATCGAAGGTAAGTGATGTACTCGCCATTGATGTTGATACCGTATCCTTTCCAGTCCAGAAGCTTGAAAACATCTTCCAATGCAGCGGTAAAGAGTTTCGGGGATATGACGTCACCCTGTCTTACACCTCTCTGCAATTGGATAGGTTTCGTACTCTGGTTCTGTACTCGGATAGCCATCGTAGCCCTACTGTTCAAGCACTTCAACACTTCGATATACCGACAGTCAACTTGGCATCGCTGAAGGGACTGCAGCACCGCCCAAATTTCGACGGAATCAAAGGCTTTCTCATAGTCCACATACGCCAGACATAGTGGCAAATTGTACTCCTCGGACTTCTGTACAATTTGCCGAAGGGTATGTATGTGGTTTATGGTGCTAAAGCCTTTTCGGAAACCGGCTTGTTCGGGAGGCTGGAAGTCGTCAAGTCTGCGCGCGAGACGATTCGTAATGACTCTCGAAAACAGCACGTAGACGCGGCTCAGAAGGGATATCGGTCTGTAGTTCTTCAAGAGAGCGTTGTCGCCTTTCTTGAAGAACAAGACCACCGCACTTCTGCTCCACGCCTCCGGTGTAATGCCACCATGGAGGACGGAATTAAAGAGCTTCTGAAGGACTTCAAGTACCGGTTTTCCACCCGCTTTCAGAAGCTCCGCTGTAATTCCATCCTCGCCTGGGGCCTTGCCGTATTTAAGGTGCTGGAGAGCCATTCTAATCTCGCTCAGACTGACGTCCGGGATATCAACGGAATAATGTCGGGTAAGACTCGCTCTTGGATCGTTACTCACACTTGCGTGCGGCTCCAACGATGACGTGTACAGCTGCCCATAGAACCTCTCAATCTCACTCAAAATCTCAGGTGCCCCGGAAACGATGCTGCCACATTCTGTCTTCAGCTTTGACAGTTGGCGCTTTCTGGCAGACAGATCTCTGGCAAAGACTTTGGAGCCTTGGTTCCGCTCGATCGCTTCTTCAATACGAGCTGTATTGAAGTTGCGTAAGTCCCGCCGCATGCATTTGGAGATCTGTCTGTTCAGTTGCCTGTATGCTGTTAAATCTGTTGAAGAATGTAGCTTCATCTCCCGTCTAACAGCCATGAGATTAAGAGTGTGATCGGAGAGTTTCTGTGTTCTTCTGCGGCGGGTCTTGCAGAACTTAGCTCCGACCGCATGGACAGTTTCCACGAGCTTGTCATTCAAATCGTCCACTTCATTGCAGTCTTCTAGGCACTGAAAACGGTTTTGTAACTCGAGCTGAAAGGTTTCGGGACTTTGGATTAGAGCACGAGGGGGACGGAGCGTTGACTTCATTAGACGAGACCTCTCCAACTTAACGTTTAGGTTGTGTGCCTCTAACCATTCGGTGATCGCTGCCGGTTTTCACCCTCGCGATCACTGAGACATCACTGAACAGTTGTCGTCTGGTCGTCATAATGAAGTCAATCTCATTTTTGTCGAACCGTCGGGGCTCGACCAGGTCCACTTTCTGTGGGGCCGCTTCTGGAAGAAAGAGTTCATCATAAAGAGTCCCTCTTTCTCCATAAAGTCAGCCAACTGCTGGCCCCTTGGGTTCCGTTGCCCTACTCCAAATTTCCCTACTTTCAGCTCACCGTTCTCTCTTGTGCCTAGTTTTGCATTGAAGTCTCCCATTAACACCGTATATTGGGTTTTGGAAGAATGCATGGCTCTAGAGATATCCTCATACATTTCCTCCACCTCCTGATCGGGGTGTGCCGAGGTTGGTGCGTAAACCTGTATGACCTTCAGCGAATACCGTTTGGTGATTCTGAGTATAAGGTACGCAACCCTCGTCGACACACTCTCAATCTTTACAACGTTGTTAACGAGAGACTTGTGGACGATAAATCCGACACCTCCTTGGGACAGATGGTCGCCCTCCCGGTAATAGAGCAAGTTGCCGGATTCGAGGATTACCGTGTCCTTCCCCTCTCTTCGGACTTCGGATAATCCTATAATATGCCAGCGTAACTTGTCTATCTCTTCTTCCAGCTCCACAATCTTCTCGTCAGTCCTCAGGGTGCGTGCGTTGTATGTTGCCAGGTCATTATTGTCATTGCTCATGGGGGGTATATTGCCATAGTTGCCACGCTTGGCGAGCGGGTTGGCAACCGCAGTTTTTTTATTGTTATTTATAAGCTGCTCTACCAGGTATAAATGTAAATGTGTAGCACAAATGGGTCGAATCGATCAGGTAGAACCATGCTCTCCAGCGTAAAATCGCACTCTAGCTGTGTTTCGTGTGGTGATCGTGAGTGTAGATAACCGGAGACCATTTTACTGATAACGAGACATTCTGTCTTAGTCTACACGGGTGACAACGCATCTGCATTTTTATTCTTAATCGAGGATAGATGTAGATGTCTATAGGCCACAGCATGCACGATTAACACGTTACCATCAAGTGGACTATTTGCACTTTTGTCACCATTATTCTTTTAAAACAATGTAATTGACATTTTCTTTGCAGATTATCGGCACAATGCAGGCGCACTCTCAATTCTGCTGGTCGGGTGACAATACTTTGCCGGCTGCGAAACAAGCCATTTCCAGCCTCGCCAGTGAAGACGCCGATGAAGCGATCGTTATTATACTCTCCGATGCGAATCTGCGACGGTACGTAGCTCAATCCGAGTAATATATGGCTGGACCCATTAGCTTGTCTATGTAACGTCACGATCCGTTACAACGACATTATTACAAAAATAATAAGTCCGCGGTTTAGTTCACTAAAGTAGCGGAAATATGCGAAGTGCACATGTAGTAGAGCCACGCTGCAATATATTATGGTTGATATATGAATGTGTCGGCTCGACCGGGGAAGGGCTACGCTGTCACATAATGCCAGCGTAAAATAGCAGCTTAATACTGCTGTACTTCGTATGGTGAGTGTAGAGAACTGGATACTCTTTTTACCGGAAACGAGGCATTCCACCTTTGTCCTCGGCGGTGACAACGTATCTGCACTTTGATACTTAACGGTTTGCTTGTCCGCGAAACAGACACAATAGTTAAACATGGGACAGGGATAGGGTTAATCGGGGCTAAATGTAGATGAACTATATATAGGCCAGAGCATTCATTTACCATTAGGTGGACTGTGTGCATATTCTATAAAAAAAACTTAAATACAAAGTTGAACAGCAAATATCAAATTTCGGTTTCGGATTATAGCTTTAACGGAATCATTACGATCTTACAGTGTTTTAGTTGTTACAAAGTGGATGATACGGTTTTTTTTTTAAGTTTAAGGGTGTAAAAGCGGTGTAAGTATATCCACTACTCCATATCATCCCGTGGGTGTCGTAAGAGGCGACAGAGGGAAACAAAACAGGAGAGGGGCAGCACAGTTTTCGTAACATCATCATCATCATCATCATCATCATTACAGCCTTTCATAAGTCCACTGCTGAACATAGGCCTACCCCAAGGAATGCCACAAAGCACGGTCCTGAGCCACCTGCACCCATCGACTTCCTGCATGTCTTACCAGGTCGTCGCTCCATCTCGTGGGGGGTCGCCCTACACTTCGCCTACCGGTACGAGGCTGCCACTCAAGAACCTTTCTTCCCCATCGGTTGTCTGTTCTTCGAGCTATATGGCCGGCCCACTGCCACTTCAGCTTACTAATCCGTTCAAGTCTTGGTAACAACGTCTAAAAATAAAAAAAAACGGGCCGTGTACTTTCTGTTGTAGATATGGCATTGCTCCCGAGTCGCTGGGCACCATCCTGACGTCGGACCACAGAGTACAGGCGCACGTTATTTTTATTGGCAGTTTGGGAGATGAAGCTAACACGTGAGTATATTTGATTCCGAACTTAAATTGACCTCGGATATGTGTGAAGATTATATGGGGCCACTCAAATACAGTCCAATTGATAACTGTGTATAAGACGATAACAATATTTTTTATACCTATTGACTTACATCTTAATATGCCTGGCTCCTGCACAGGCAAGTCGTTAGTATTAAAAAAGAGTCCGACATCAATAGTCCGACGTATGGAATTTTATTTTCTTACAATTAAAATAGATCTCACAGAATACCAGCGTAAAATTGCAGCTCAATGTTGCTGTGTTTCGTATGGTGAGTGTAGAGAGCCGAAGAGAGAACTCTGTTGGCTGGAAACGAGACATTTCCTCTTAGTTAGGGGTGATAACGCATCTGCATATTAATTGAGTTTCCGGGTGCGACTCCCCCGGGTGGGGCCAAAAAATCAGTTATTGAGTTTTTCCTTCAAGAAATTCTCAGTAGCTGCCCGGAGTCAGGAAGTTGACGGTGTTCCACCCTCGTGCCACGGAAAGCATTTTAAGCCGTTGGTCTTGCGCCTGGTATCTCTCCAGTCGTGTCGGTTTACCGTCCCACCGGACTATGACAGTGAGTGCATAGATATTGCACCTGTACTTGCGCATACACTCTGGCACTGTAATCCTGTCATGCGTCGATGGCTAGTCTCCGTTGAGGCTGGCCGCCGTGACCGAAATTCTGTCTGGAGAACATTATTATCATTATTGCACCGTTACTACACGGTAACGAACGACTTATTGAATTACTTTAAACGTGGTTTAATACTGGTTTTCACACAACGATCTCCCGGCAGGTTGCTGCGTCGCCTGCCCGCGGGGCGCGCGCACGTGTGCATGGACGTGGCGACCTTGCCTCACATCCTTCAGCAGATATTCGCGTCGTCACTGTTGCAGACCGATAATAATTAATATGATATTTGATAAAACTAATTTTACGGATTTTATCGCGTTTAATTAAACTTTATTTAATTCCCGACATTTCGGTTACTTTAGAGCACCCATGGTCTCGGGAAGAATAAATTAAACACGATAAAATCCGTAAATATAGTTTTATTCAATAGTTTTTTTTTTCCTTTATTTTATTTTTGTTATTGTGACTGCATTTTTGCATTTGCAACATTTGTCTCTATTTTATATAATAAATATAAATATTATTATTTTTATATATTTTATACAACGCGTAACGATTAAGATACATTTTATGACATTACTTTATTTTATAAATAAAACTGCGTGGGTATCATTACCTACTTTTATTTATTATACGATATTTTTAAATAAAACTTAAAACCAATTCCAATTCATTGTAGAATGTAGAAAAAAAAAGAGTTTTATTGGTACATTATTTTTTGTGTGTGTATTTGAGCCCCTTACACGTTGTTTGATCAATATAAATAAATCAATAAATCATAAATGATAATGCTTATTATATTTTAATTTAACTCGGGGTTATTTCGACCAAATAGATGTAAAATAACAAACGCAAAAATAATTAATCTTCGTACTTCTTGTGTATATCTCCAAAGACTTCTATGTACAAGTTGCGATACGTAAGTCTAGCGCTGAACGAAACGCGCATTGATTGGATTGATTTGCACGAATGTAACTGGAGAGCCAATCAGTGCGTGCGAACGATACGCACGAGCCAATTAGCGAGTGCGAATGATACGCACGACTCAATCAGCGTGTGGGAATGACGCTCGTCCGCCCCGCGACCCTCTTACTACCCCATGATACCTTATTTTCGACTTAAGCGCAATAACGGTCACCGCTAGACTTTCGTGCCGTTACTTATATACTACTAGACGGGCTTTGGGGCTCAATTACATTGCACACTAAGTTACGGTCACTTCTCCATAACTACTTTAGTCTAATTCGTTGTTTTGTAACACGCGAACGTTGTTTTCGACAATCTAACACTTATTTTATTTAATGTGACTAAGAAAACGCTGTCATTATTTATGTGCGCACTCTGTCTGTGTGATTTGAAATTTATTTCAGATAAGTATTGAACTTTATTTCGTATTTGCCTAAAAAAAGTAACTATCGTATAAATGACAATACAACTGCGTAGCATATTTACTGTGCTATATGGCCGCGTCCGCGCCTGTGACCTGTTTTCTATTGGGGGTCAAGTAGTATACATAAAAGTCTGCATATCTCAGATATTTTTTATTAAATGGTGAAATTAACTATCGTTAAGAATATCAATTAGGTAAAATGTTTGTAAAATTTAAGTTATGAATAATTTAAATTAAACATATTCCATAGATTTTAAATTACTTTATGTTATATTATAATTTTATAGTTTATTGATTCAATCCAAATGTAATCTTGAAGGAATTTGTAACTGACCATAGTTTAATAGGTAACTTCAAATGTGATAATATGAAACAGTAGAGTTAGTTATTTATGATGTGAACTTATTACATACGTATTTTATATTGAATATATTGTTATTTTACGGAACTCTCAAAATATTTTTATAATATTATGAACATAATATAAGTAATTTGTATAGGTAGTATATTTATCTGTAAATGTATATATGTAGTTAAATATTAATATTATTTTGGGTATGTAATTGTAATCAAAATATAATTTTTGTTTATTGCCACACCTACGCCAAATACACTCCACGGGTTGATTTTAAATAATATGTTGTAGCAAAATGTGATAATATGAATTGTCGTTATTGTTATTATTAAATTTAATATACGAGGTTAAAAGAAAAGCTGTTTTTTATTTTATCTAACATTTACATGCATGTCCCGAGGTTCTCTTAAACATCGATTAAGAATATGAGAATATGCCAAAATATTTCGAATTAAAGAAAAAAATACATGTTTATTGGAGGTAAGAACTTATCATAAATAAGAGTAGGTATTATCATGAAAATTCCAGAACAAAAATATTCATCTATAACGTAGCACCGAATGTAAGATCGTTAATTGTATACCTAGTACGACAATCTCATGACGATGATCACGTCCTAATTTAAAAAGGCAGTACCTATGTCAAGATTAAGTTCATATATAATTTGTTTGAGAAATTTGGAGTAAAATATTAATTAATGTATTTCCCTTCTAATTTTTAACAAATTTTATTAGCTCTTTTTCTTCTCTGTTTGTCTGTTCGGAACAAAATTAAATTGTATTTTTATACTAACTTCCAGATAAAATATAGATGCAATATAAACAGAGGTTGCGCAAGGCGTGGGCGACGTAGGCGACCGCCTACACGGCCTCGCGGCCCGAATGGTCTCGCACCCCGAAAGTTCATTCAAATAATTTAAATATAAAAATTTTGTACAATCGACTTCAATATAAATTATTAAGAATAACTCAAAAATTATTGGTCAGACCTTGATCAAATTTATATGGGACCACATGTGAAGCACCAGCTTTCAAATTAAAATAATCGAAATAGGTTCACCCAGTAAAAAGTTAGATACAGTCGAATTGAGTACCGGCAAGTACGGGCTCCTTTTTGAAGTCGGTTGAAAAAATATTCGACGAAAATTCAAGACATCTTTAATACACTCTTATCTATGATCCCTGCAACTAACACGCATCCAACAACATTTCCCAAATTTGTAATTAACAGTGGTGGCGCCACGCGGCAGCTTTTGCTGTTGCATGTAGGGGCCGGCACGAGCCGGGGTGGTACCACGATCTCACAGAATACCAACGTGAAGTAGAACCTATGCTTCTGCATTTCGTCTGGTGAGTGCAGGTAGCCGGAGGCCTTTCCCATCCTCCTCCCCTGTTACGGCCTGCAGCTGCCTAGCTAATGGTAGTATCCACCTAGGCCCATAGTAGGAAGATCCTACAGGCAGATACAGGTCGGGCTCTTGGCCAAAGTGGAAATTTCTAATAGAAATAAACGAGGGGAAGGATCACTATGATAAAGCCACTCACCTGCTCCAGGAGCGGAGACGGTTCTCCTAGACCGGCCCGGCTGATGACAGTGTCGTGAGTGTATGTGTGATTGTATGAGCGTGTATGTTGACGTGGCCTGATCTGGATGACGCAATGCCGTCCGGGAGAAGGTATGCGCTGGTATCCTCGGAACTTTCCCCCTCTGGAGGAACTCTTCCTGGTTTGTCACGAAATGGGACAGCTACACGTAGTACTTCAGAGGTAAATCACTATTATAGTTGCACAATTAATTTAACAGAGTTAGTAAGTCCTAATGAACGATACGGTTCTCACAACGATTTACGCGGGTTGATACTTTCGTAACAAGTTAGGCGCGGGAAACGTCAGTATAGCTCGCAAGGAATTCTACAATGACTATCGAGAAGTCCGATCCCGCCGCGCCACGCGGCCGGGGGAGGGGAAGGTGACCTCGATATCGAGGCCAAGCGCGCGCGTTAAAGAATACCTTTCGAAGGTAAAATATTCTTGCCTAAACAAACCCCCGCCCCGGACATAAGGCATTAGGTCCGCGAGTAGATTGGCAAACGGGACAAGGTCGCGATGGCACGTTGCAAGACCGAATCTCCGACCAAAACCTCGGCCACTCTAGGCACCCCATCCGCTCCATACGACAACTTAACAATGCGTCCACGGCGCCAATACAAAGGTAGAGCGTTTGGTTCTTTAATCAACACGAGGTATCCCACCCGAGGAGGCTCCGTCTTGTCAGACCACTTAACGCGCTGCTGCAAAAGATGTAGGTACTCCAGAGACCATCGGTGCCAAAAGCTTTGAGTCATCTGTTGCAGCAGGGCAAACCTGCTAAGCCGTGAAGCGCTCGTTTCCCTGAAGGGGTACTCGGGCAGAGCGTTAAGAGGCTGGCCAATCAGGAAGTGTCCCGGGGTTAGAACTTCCAAATCATTCGGGTCGGAGGAGAGGGGACAGAGGGGCCGAGAGTTGAGTACCGCCTCAATTTTACAGAATACAGTGTCGAGCTCCTAAAATGTCAAAATAGCTTCACCAATAACGCGACGGAGATGCGTTTTTGCCACTTTAACCACCGCCTCGAAAATACCGCCCCAGGGGGGACACGCCGGAGGGTCGAATTTCCACTGGATGCCCCTTTTTGACATAGCATTGCCTAAATAAGTCCGGTGGCTAGACAGAAACTCGACGACCTCCTTCAGATATCTATCCGTGCCCTTATAATTCGTTCCGCAATCCGACCGGATCAAGTCCGGCAACCCGCGCCGCGATACGAAACGGCCAAGCGTGGCCAAGAAGGCTTCCGTGCTGAGGGCGCTTACAAGTTCCAAGTGAACGGCTTTAGTGGAGAGGCACACGAAGACGCAAAGACAGGCCTTATGCGAACGAGCGTTACGAGGTTAGAGGACTTGACGAGGAAGAGGCCAGCAAAGTCGGTTCCGACTCCAGCAAATGGTCGGATGGCCCTGACGCGGTCGCGCGGCAAGTCACCCATGAGGGGCTGCGATATGGTGGCCTTCAGTTTATAACAGGATATGCAATTAAAGATGACGCTCCGGATGATACGTCGGCCAGCCAAAATCCAAAACTCCCGCTGTAAAATAGCCGAAAGAGCGTTGCACCCAGCGTGGGCATTCTTAACATGGTGGTGGGCTACCAGCAATCGGACCAGGGCGCCGTCCTTAGGGAGCAGCAACGGGTGTCGAGCCCCGTACGGCAGTTGAGAATTTTTTAAACGTCCGCCAACACGCAGCATCCCCGCGTTATCCAGAAAGAGGTTCAGGCGGGCCAGGGCGCCCTTGATAACGGAGCCACGCTTCAAGTTTTCAATGACGGGCTCAAATTGCTCCGTTTGGACTATACGGGTCCAGTGCATCAAAGCTTCACGGCGCTCGCTAGGGGACAAAACGCTATCAGAGAGTCGGTGGGATGGGTATCTCGAATTGCGGACAAAGCGGCGCAACCAAGCAGTAACTCCCAAGAGCTTATCGAGGGAGCTGTACC